TTTATCAATGCATAACATTGAATGATTTATAAGTGTATTTATAATCAACATTTTTTTTTCTTTGTTGCACTGCATTTTCGGTGCATTTGAAGCTACCTTAAATGCAAATTCACTCAAAAGAGGTATTTTAAGAGTTGCCTACCTACTTTACAGCATTTGCATCGGGAGCTATTGTTGCTTACGCAGACAGCGCACTAGGTTTTGAAATCAGATTTTCGTCTGTGAACGGCAAAGCAATAAAACCCATGTCAGACATCAACAGGTTCCAAAAACAAGATGAGGAAAGGAAAGGCAAGGGAGGATGTGTTTTACTGCTTTATCTGCAGGGTGAGAGCTTTTGTCTCGAGAGAGTAGTCAAAAGCAGTCTTTGGATAAATGCATCTGCTAAATGAATCCATGAAAATGTTAATTGGCTTCAATCAATAAATTGCTGTAAATTTTTTTTTTCATATTTCACATTACAAAAATGTACAAGGATGTGCACATTGGCTGTTTGTTTAAAAAGAACACAGTGTTAAGTTAACTGGTGAAGCTGGGTGTTTGGTTACTTGTGATTTAATAGATGCTTTTTGTAAATGGATTATTGTTGGAACTCAATGAAGAGAGACTTGGAGTTAAGTGAATGTCCCAAACATGTCCAGGTCAAATTTAAGCCAAAAGAAAAAAAATTGCATTAAGTAAATGAAGTTTCTTTATAAAGTATAGCATTTTGATGACAATTAAGCACATTTTCTTTAATTTTTCCTCCATTCTTTAAAAAAAAAACAAATCTTCAATTATGATTATATTAGATGGTTTTACTTTTTTTTTTTACTGTATTAAATTGAGAAAATATTTACATTTAAAACTGAATCAGTATATATATATATATGTGTGTGTGTGTGTGTGTGTATGTATTTACATACTGTATTTATACATATATAATTGTGATTATATGAAAAAAACTGAAATGACTGATTTCAGTTTTTGTCCTGTCTTGATAGAGTGACCACTAGACACAAGCACAAACACTTTTGATAGTTAAAGTGATAATTTTTGTGATAATTAAAGTCTATCCTTTCCTGGCACATCAAATAACTTTTACCTGTGGAGCTAAAACATTATCAAATAATTCTCATATTGTTTCATCCGGATGTTGTATAATACATTCCTGGAGCACTTCGACTGCTTCTTTCTAGGTGCAAAAGGTTTCACTACTCCATGAAAAGAAAAGAAGAACATCCTTCCTTTCGTCCTGAGGATATGACTGGAAAGAGAGCAACGAAGCAAACTATGACAATACCTGAGCAGGAAGGATTTGACTGCGCCCTACTTGAGGATTAATATTACTTACTAATGCACGTTTGGGAACCATTTCTAAATTTGAGGACGTGAGTGGTGCTTAAATGCGCATAACTCACCGATTAAAAATAGAAAAGGGGTGATGGACTAAATGACGATCTCTAGCAATTCTCTTCAATTTCCTGCCATGAGAAGGTCGCCAAAATAAGAACAGGAGCATCTCGCGAAAATCACTGAATTGGGAAATCAAATGGTTAACAGTCACACGAAATACAGAAATGTCTTTAATCAAAATCCTAGTTATTGCATGAGATGAGGCTCCAGGGCCTCTTCGTTTTGCCATAACGCCCATTTTCTGCCTGATTTACGTTGTGTTTTCATTCTTTGTCACTAATAAAACAATCCCAGTCTTCTTATGACTTCCTATCATGGACTGCTCCGGAGGGGGAAAATGCAGACTGACATCTATGAAAACTTCCTAAGTACAGCTTGTTTGAGCTGTGACACAGACTATGAAAGGAAATGAGGAGAAAGTCAAGTTCAGGGTGGGTCAGGGTGGGCTGCATTTTTTTCTTTGACTAACGCCAGTCTAGAGGTTATTACTCCCAGTCATCATGCACACACCTACAAACCTTCAGCACTATATCAAAATCTAAATAAACTCCTTTTGTTGAGGGCACTGCTATCCACCCATGTTTCACTGAAGTCATGGAAACAATGATATTGGAGAACAATTAAACAGCCCTGTAGGATACTGATAAATTAAAGGGTTAGTTCACCCAAAAATGAAAATTCTGTCATTAATTACTCACCCTCATGTCGTTTCAAACCCGTAAGACCTTCGTTCTTGGGAACATTTCAGTTGCGTTGCTGTCTATGCAGGGTCAGAGAGCTCTCAGATTCCATCAAAAATATCTTAATTTGTGTTCCGAAGATGAACGAAGATCTTACGGGTTTGAAACGACATGAGGGTGAGTAATTAATTACAGAATTTTCATTTTTGGGTGAACTATCCCTTTAAGTGGCCGTTTCCACCCTTTGCCCACATGGAAAAAGGTGAAAAGAGTCTAAATCTATACATAGGTGTATTGAATTCATCATGCTGGTGTTTTCCTTATACTGTTACATGCACGCTCAATACAAACCCCAAATTACACAACTGTAATGACGACTCTTATATTACAAAACATGCAAGTAAATCAAATTGTACTATTAGCATTATTACAGTTAAATGAAATGGTTAAGTGGCCCCAAAAAGTATTTGGATGCCTAAGTCACCCAAAAAAAAAAAAAAAACTACTTTGCATTAGTGCATTAATTAATAAAATCAAAATCAAAGCAAGTGCCATTTAAGTTAAGCATGACTCAGGTATCCAAACACATCGACCAAAAATCCAAACGGCATAATTTAATACAAAATCTCTCATAGCAAATTATCAGAACAAACATTTGAGTGTGTATATTTAGGAAAGGTTATTTATATAACATTTCACACCCAGTTTAAGTGCTTCACATAATATATTATGCACATTGTAACAGTATATATATTTATAGAATGCATACAGTATTATTAAAAAGTAAAACTTATAAATACAAAATATCAAATAAAAATTCGATTAAAAAATGCACTGTAAAAAAAAAAACTCAAAGTTATAAATAAAGATTGCTGGAGTAGTATATTTTATAAGAAAATACTATTTCAAAATGTGACATTTAGCCAGAGGTGGACAAAATACTCAACTCCATTACTTGAGTGAAAGTACAGATACTGCTGGTCAAATATTACTCCATTACAAGTAAAAGTTGTAAAGACAGATTTTTACTTAAGTAAAAGTACAGAAGTACTTGCTTTTAAAAGTACTTAAGTACCACAAGTAAATTTCCTTTTTTTATGTCAATGCATGTTTTATTGTTATATGTAGTACTTGCAATACTTCTGAAGCAACTTAGAATACATTACACCTGCTGAATACAGTACAGTGAAAGTAGTATATTTGATATAAAGAGCTTTTAGAACATCAGCAACACTGCTTTAACAAAAAAGCAAAACAGCAAGACTTATTTGACATCAAAACAAAAATGTCTAATCACTGTCACTGTACTTTGATGTCACACACAGAATGGTCTGCAGTGCTGCTTCAAGTCCAACACCTATTGTGTTTTATTAGGAGACGCACAACATTTCTTCTGTGGCTTTATAGGTAATATTTTCACTTACACAATTTAGCAAAATCAGACAATATTGTGTCTAATATATACCACAATATTAACTTCTTATTATTGAATTGTTG